AAAAACAAAATATTATTATACATAATTACAACATAAAATTAGGATCACTATTGGCATACCTTAGTAATCGGCGAAGTGGTTCGTTCAGAAGGTAGTTTGTAGGGGCTTGCGTGATACGGAACGGCGCATTTGACCTGGTATTGATCTGTGGAACCCTGAAAGGGACCAGAGACAATAGCGCGGGACATTCAACTTTCCCATCAAGCAAGCCCTTAAGGAATTTAGAACCCGCAACATTACGTCTCAAGGATAGGGAGGAAAGACCTAGATGATTAGCCACAGGAGTATAATCATGAGGCGGACAAGGCAAATCAAGCGCGCGTCCAGCAAAACAAAGGAATTTATTTTGAACCCTTTCCAATTGACGAGCGTTTTCAGCCGTGTGGGGGTCCCATACCACGCTACCATACTCCAATATAGGGCGGACCAATGAGCAAAATAGAATTTTTACTGAACTTCCCAGCTTGAACTCTCTGGACAATCTTATAATAATACCAAGCATCTTTAAGGCTTTACAACATACATGTTGGATGTGAGCACTAGGATCAAGATTATGGCTTAATATGAATCCCAGGTCCCTAACATTATCATACACACGAGGGATGTCGTCGTTGCCAAGGCGATATGGGAAGAAAATCGGAGATTGACTCCTAGAAAATGTTATGACTTTGCACTTGGACGGATTAAGTGATAGTCCTAACGTAGTCGACCACTCAAAAAACTTATCAAGGTCAGTTTGAAGTCTTATACAATCACTAGGAGATTGAATTTGTATAAATATTTTCATATCATCCGCAAAACAGAGAACTCGAGACTGTTTTAGGGTTTGTTGTATACTATTGACATATATTGAAAATAGGAGAGGAGACAAATGACCACCTTGCGGGACACCTGATTTATTATGAAACAAGTCCGATTTTATCCCAAAAACTTTAACCCATTGATACCTATTATGTAAATAAGACCTAAACCACGACAGAAGAGGCTCTCCAAACCCAGTTTCTTTAAGTACACGAATAAGAGCCTTATGATTAATAGAGTCAAAAGCTTTATTAAAATCGGTGTAAATTACATCTGTTTGGAAACCATTCTGAAATGAGTTAAAAACATAATTACAAAAGAGAACGTTGCAAGTAGTGGTAGATCGACCAGGTCGAAATCCATGCTGCTCGTCCATGAGTATTTGGTTGACTGATGGTTGTATTGCATTTAGGACTAATTTTTCAAAAATTTTTGATAAGTGTGATTGGATGGATATCGGTCGATAATTAGATGCAAAAGATGGACAGCCGGATTTAAGAACAGGTGTAACTGAACTTAATTTGAATATAGAAGGAAAAATGCCTTCATTCAGCGAACGTTTAAAAATAATCCATAAAGGATAGGATAAAATTGATCTAAGTTCAAAAAAGAACGCACCTGGGAGACCATCTGGCCCAACAGACTCGACACCCCGTAGTGTAGAAAGGCAATTAAATACATCATCAACACTAAAGTGGACAGTGTTAGGTAAATCAAAGGCGGAGATTTTCAATGTATCCGATAAAGCATTAATAGTGGTTGGTGAATTAGAATAAACTGAGGAGAAATATTCTGCCAAAAGATTAGCAGATTCAAGCTCATTTGAAGTGGTTTTGTCATTAAAAGTCATTACTCTAGTAATGTTTTTTTCCGAACGTTTATTCTTAATAAATTTCCAAAAGTCTTTTGGATTACTTTTAAGTGAATTTTCTACATGCTGCGTGTAGACACGGTAAGATTTCTTAGACTCATATTTAAATTTAGCACGAAGTAAAGAAAATTCTCTGTAATCATTAATATTTAAAGTTGCTTTGTATTTTGCATGTGCTTTTTTCTTTAAGGAAACAATTTGTTTAAGATTTTTATTGAACCAAGGTGGAAATGGAGAATTCTTAAAGTAGCATAAAGGTATGAAGTCTATTACAGCCTTATGCAAAGCATCATAGAGTACATTTACTGCAGTGTCAGCATCATACAACTGAAGTGTGGAAAACCAATCAAAAGATGATAAAAATAAACGAATACTATTGTAGTTGGCTTTTTTAAAATTGAAGTAGCTATGACTAGTGTCGCAACTGGGAAATTGAGTATTTACTGGCAATGATATGTTAAGTGCAGGGTGATGTTTGTCAATTGGTACAAGTGGTTCATTTGAATTTTCAACTACAAGATGTTTATCAGTACAAAATATTAGATCTAATGTAATGTTGTTTAAGTTAAGGACGTTATTAGCTTGATAAAACCCGTTTGCAGCAAACGTTTCAGTGATGAAAGGCGCACGCGTTGAGGAAGTATATGAATAAGTTAAGCCATCATCATCACAAGACCAAGAGATCTCAGGGAGATTATAGTCCCCGCAGATAATAAATATATCCTCAGGAAACAGGTGCATAAGATTTTCAATGCAATGAGCGTGGGACTCATAAATAGAAAGAGGGGAAAGTGGGGGAATGTAGACACCACCGACAATAAAGTTAAATGATTCTGAATAAATACGCACAAATACATGCTCAACATTTAACTCAATAACAGGAACAGAGGTAACAGGAATATCTTTGCGAACACCAATAAGAACACCCCCACCTCGCAAACAACTACTAGTAGTACTACATCGATCATACCTAAAAATATTATAATTAAAAAATCCTAATTCTGAGTTTAAAAAACTATCTGTTAGCCACGTTTCAGTGAGTACAAAAAAATTACAAAAGAGAGTTGATACGTTACAATTTAAATTAAATAATTTGGTCCTGAGACCACGGCAATTTTGGTAGAAGCCAGACAGGGTTTGACTTCTTGGTATTCGTTGTTAGGAACGGCGTTGGTTAAGTCCTCTGCTTCGTGATGTAGCATCCTGAATTATTGGCAAACCATTTTTAAAGACCACACGTAACCCTGACTCACCTGCCGCCTTTCGTTGTTCAACATCTGTATAGCAATCACGTAAGAGTTTGCGCTGCAACTCAGTTTTGTCACTAGTCATACGAAATCCTTCAGGAAGAGCCAGTCCGTTACGCTTTGCAGAGTTATACTCTGATAGTAGATTTAAAGCTGACTCCTTACTATTACAAATAATTTTTATTGGACGCGAAGCATCAGAACGTGGTTTACCGAGACGTACAAGTTTAACACTCTCAGGTAAAACTTTACCTAATGGCCTAAGTAAATCAACTAGGGTCGATTTGTCATGCGTGATCCTAACAGATACTTCAGTAGAGAGTGATTCAGGGACTCCATAGATAATTAGATTGGATTGACAACGTTCCCGAGCAAATGTTTCAAGAAGAACCTGGGTCACAACTGTTTGAGACTGTTCAAGAGAATTGCTCTCCAAGCTGGCAACTTTATTCTTTAAAACATCTACTTCTTTACGAAGTATAGAATTTTCCGCTTTTAATTCAAGTATTTGATTAAAGACGTTCAATTTATATACTTTTTATATTTTGATGACTTAAGATTAACAACCCTCTTGGATCACATTCATCCTCTATTTTGGGTGTATATAATTCATTTCCCTCTGCCCCTGATGTTCTTCGATCAAATTTAAATTAATGGTAACATTTTCTTAACAGTTTAATTACTGATTATTTAAAACTATGGACTGAAAGAATAAAATTAATAATTGTTTCAATAAATATTCTTTAGCATTAATATAATGATTAAAAATATGTCATTTTAATGAATCGATTGCATAGACTCCAAATCATACCTGTTTGTATTTCTCGACCACACAAAAGAATATACTAACTCAATAACATACTTAATTCTAGCCGTTGCAATAGAATATAGTAATCAAAGATTTCTGTTTTTCTTCTCGTTTTAAAGCACCACAATAGTACTAAATAAGGAAAATAATATCCAAAACTTTATTATAATAATTGAACTAAAAATCGAGGGAATAATGCTACATGTATTTATAAAAAGATATGATATATTAAAGGAACCCAATACCCATTTATGCCGTTCGTGGCACATTACATAAGGGCTCAAAACCCTGTTTTTCCTCACACTTACTTATCACTATTTTTCACATTGTCAACTAAGATTTTTCTTTATTACAATATACTCTAGTGTATTCTTTATGTGCGTCTTTAAAGCCTTTAACATAACTTATTTCACTTAGTTTAAACTTATTTTTGTTAAAATTAACTAGCATTTTATTTATAAATAAGCATGCTTTTATAGTTCATTAATACTTTTCCTTTAAATTAAATAAACATTTCGACCAACTGCAAATCATCAGCCAAAATTCTATCATCATCATTCAATAGAATATTAGATATAAGAGGTTTTATTACATTAACTACACCAATCAAGTAATTACTATAAATCATAGTATTTGTATTTATTATGTCATTACGAACAATCCTATCAGCATTCCATTTATAACTTTTTTTTCATATTTTATACGTTAAAATAACCTTTATAATAACTTAAAAGAGAGTTCAATGCAACCATTAATAAATAAAGTTAACTAACTTATTTTTCTTATATAGACAGTGTTACGAACCCTTATTGTTATAGCATTACTGAAGTGGAGTTAAGCTAGTGATAAATCAGTAGGTATATAACGAATAGTTTGGATAAGCAATTTGTTAATATTGTTCGAATCGTTATAAGAATAAAGTGTCACATACTTGTTAGTGATTACCTGATGACTATTCTTTTATAATTTCTATAATAAGTATAATTTCTAAAATTAAATTATATTATTATAGTTATTAGTAAAAGTTAAGTGTACTTTGGTTCACATTACTACCTACAGTTCACTCCAACACGTACTGTGTCTCATCCTAGGAGAGACACAACAGAAATGGAGAAAATCACGCTGGGTCTCTTTAGTAAGATATTAATCTATCAAAAAAAAATTAGATGAGACGACCAAAAATCGTGTTTTTTACTAGTTTAGAATATAATAATTAAGCACGTTACTAAACTAAAAATTAAGACATGAAATCCCAGTGAATAGTTTTTTTTACCTAAATTTGTACCACATATAGAGATGTCTCAACAGGGGCGGACTAAGACCTTTTGGGGCCCGGGGCGGAAATGATTTGAAGGCCCCCCCCCTCCCGTAATTTTTCTCGTTTAATGGAGCTATGAGTTATGAAGGGTTCAATATTCAGAACATTCGATTAAACAATAGTTTTATTAAAAATACAGAAAATGACAGTTTTAAAAACAAAACAATTTATATTTTTAAATTGTGCTTTCTTGCTTTAAGTGAAGCGAATGTGTCGATTACTACATCGAAATCCAATGTTGATGCACTTTTTTTTTCAATCGATAAAATAGCAAGACTGTTTAACCTTTGTTCGCTCATTGTTGACCTCAAGTAATTTTTGATTAATTTTAATTTCGAAAAACTTCTTTCACAAGAAGCAACTGACACACATATCGTAAGGAAATACTGCAAAATGAGACAAAGATTTGGCACAGATTCATTGAAGTCCCACGTAGTTATAAACTGAAGCATTTCCTTTGTCGTCCAAGAAGTGGCTGCTTCGATTTTGGTTTCAGTCGCTCGAATGTGACGACGTAATCTTTTCACCTCTAGGAAAACTTGTTCTCCGTCAAAATCGTCATAAACAAGGTTGAGTTTCTGTGCAGCTGGTAATATTTCTTCGTCCGGGGCATTCATAAGAAACTTTGATTGAATCACTTGAAAAGTGTCCAAAATTTTCTTCATTCCGCTGGTTCTTTTTTGAAGTTCCTCAACAAAACGATCCAAGCACTCGAACATTGATCTGCGAAGTTCTTCAAGCTCAGTCAAATTTGAGTCCGTTGCTGACTCACCCGGTAAAAGTTTTCTCCTTCTACGTCTTTTTTGATTTCCCATCTCGATGCCCAGTTCCTGACACTTTTCTACTCCAAAGTTGATTGCTTTGTTGACGATGTCGTTTCTCTCTTCAGTCAGAAAAAGTAGCAAAGTTCCAATTTTTTTCAAACTCATGTCAAGTGTAACTCCTTTGGTTTGTAAATAAGTTTGAACAGAGTCAACTTGCGCCAAAATCAAGTTCCATAACTCCAAGAAACACAAGAATGTGTGATCGCACATTAGGGGAATTAATGTGCTTGCAGTAGAACGGGTATTCAAATTTTCGTCGGGGGAATCTCGCATGACTTCAATTGTTCTGATGATTTTCACAACTTCATTTCTTGCTGCTTTAACGCTGTGATAGTGTGCGCTCCAGCGAGTATCTGATAATCTTTTCAACGTAATCCCAATATTTTCGAGCAGTATTTCCCATCTGTGAGTGGAAGCAGCAAAAAAAACATATACTTTTTCGAGAGTACCAAAAAATGTCACGCTGGCGACAACACAAGCAAATGAATGGACACCACAAAGATTCAAAGAATGATTGGCACATGAGTTCCAGAGAGCTTTAGGGTTTATACTGCTGATTCTTTTTTGAACGCCCTTATGTTGACCAGACATTGTGAAACAGTTGTCATAACCCTGAGATCTGCACAAGTTGATATCCAGTTTGTGTTTTTCCAATTCCTTTAGAATATCCTCTGTTATATGGGCTGCTGTTTTACCATTCATAGGAAAAAAGCCCAAGAAAGACTCGCGTACTTCTACAACTTTTCCTTCAATATGTACATACCTTATTATTTTGCTCATTTGGTCGACATGACTACTATCTGGTGTGCTATCAAATAACATGCCGTAATATTTTGCCTTTTTCACATCAACAATAATATTTTCCAGAACGTGGTCGCCTAAGATGTTTATGAACTCATTCTGAATACCCTTAGATAAATAAGATGGCAGTCTTTTGGGTCCGCCTGCTGATTTTTCTAAATTCGTCCAATGTTCTCTCAAAACAGGATCATAGCGAGCCATTAGCTTGATTAACTCCAAAAAGTTTCCACGATTTTCCGATTCAAAATCTTCTCTGTGGCCCCGGAACGAAAGGTTTTGTTTTGCCAAAAAAAGCGTGATGTCCAATAGTCTGTGCAGAATATCACGCCATTTTTTAGTTTCAGAATTGATGACTTTTTCAGTGCTATGATCAATAGTTTTTCCGCTATGAAGCCTGACTGTCAAGGTTTTCCATTTCTCGAAATTTGACAAGTGTTCGTTGGACGACTCATGTTGCGTAACTTTCGGATTCAATTTCCACCACCGATCAAAACCAGAAACAAATTTTTTTTCTAGATCATCGTCCGTTGCAAAGATTCGACAGCAGAAACAATACAACTTATTTGTTGATAATGAAAAAACCATCCATTTTCTCAAAAATTTGGTTCCATCCGGTAAACTTGCATAAAACCATGAAGACGTCAAGCTCCTATTTGTTCCTTTAGTTGATTCTCCGACTCTTTCTATTGGCAAAAATGGTCCATCCTTGTTTTGAAATGTCGAACTACCGATCTGTATTATTTCTAGTCGAATGTCGTCTGGCATTGGCACCGGCCAAGTCGCTGCATCGTTTGAGAGAAGAAACTTTTCTTTGAAAGTACTTATTTCACCACCAAATGTAAATTCCTGAACTTCTTTTTCTTTTCCTTTTGCTGCTTCAGTTTCATCTATCAATAACAATTACAATCATATTTAAAAATATGATTTTTGAAAAATGCGAAGGTAACTAATATAAGCAAAATTCATCATCTTTAATACTATTGGATTACACAACTTTGATTAACGTGTAACATTTCATGACATCATATTTTATTATTTCGATATGAAAAATTATATTCAAGAATCAATATATTACCATTTACATTGTTTACTTCCAAGACTTCATTATTAGCATCATTTGATCTATCCTCGATCTGCTCTAAATCTGAAGATTGATTCTCATCTGTTTTCTTTGATGGAGTCACGACTTTGAAGAACTTATCAAGTTTGAAAGTCTTTGCCAAAACTTCTTGGTGACTTTTTTCTTTTTTTTCAGACACTTTTCTTTTTTGTGCTCCACTAAGATATGTCCGTTGGTTCTTGTGCTTGTCACTCATGTTTACAAGCAGCTACTTCATGTAAACTTCATGCAAACAGTTTATGTAAACAGTTTTAGATGCGTTTACATGAAGTTTGTGTCAATCGCGTTTGAGGAAATAGTTTGACACGTGTTTATATGATGTTTATGTAAAAAATGTACTGCCATATCGGTTTAAAAGTATCAAACAGTTATTTCCGAGTAAAATAGTTTGCGCGTGGTGGGACCGCCGGACCGGTTGGAAATTTACTCAAACAAATCATACAATACGAATACGACTATAATTGTTTCCTTATCGGAATAATAAAGTGCCCGTTTATCGATAAGGCGATAAAGCATCTATTTAATAATACTTTTTACAATGAATTCGGAGAAATACTCAAATACTGGATACGGCGATAATTCGGCATTCCGCTTTTCATATAACACATTCGATCGACTAGTGCGAGTGCGACTACTCGATTTTGCGATGCCGCCTCCTAAGAGTAAATGTTGGATTTTCATTTTCAAACACCTGATTCACGAAAAAAAATTTTTTTTTTTTATCTTGTGGGGCCCCCCAAATGTGGGGGCCCGGGGCGGACCGCCCCCTCCGCCCACCCTTAGTCCGCCACTGTGTCTCAATAAAAGATTTAATAAAATTTTAAAAAAAGGTAACCAAAAATTAAATTTATTTTCTTCTCAAAATTTCTTATTTTAGTATATATTCAAAAGTATTTAAAAAATTAAAATTTGTTTTTATAAGAAAGTAAATTAAACATGAAAAAAATCCCAACCCAATAAAATGAGGTTTCGGGACAGTAGGGACGGATCATTATTGGAATAAATATAAATATCATCAACACTTGGTATATAATGATTAAAACTAGATACAATTTGCGATCGTTTAATTTTATCGTTGAAAAAAATCGCTCTGGTGAAAGATAAGAAAAAATGGCGACAGACATAAAAAAAAAACATACATTACAAGATAAAAGTGAAGCCTTCTTAGTTTCTCATCGATGCTAAAAAAATTCTGCTTACATTAATGTAGTATAATTTTAAAGGACACGGGTTTTCCAGAATAGTCGAACTTTGAAAAAAATATCTTTTAACATACTATATTGTTTATTCAAAACCCTTCTTGCACATTGGTACATGTAATGTGCATTTCCCTATAAATTCCTTCTCAACAAATATATTTTTAAAATGTATTGTAATACCACATTGCAAAAGAAACGTCATGCAGACGTTTATAACCCCATTTCCCTCAAGATATCTTCCTTATAGACAATTCCTCTCCAAACGAATAAGAATTTAAATATATACTAACAATGCAAAACAAAATCACTATTTTTTATGTTAATATTTGATAATAAAACATTATATGATATAATATAATGCTATGATAAAAAAACTTGTAAAAACATATATTATGTTGGAACGTTTTATTATATAAATATAAATTTATTTAAAATTAGAATAAGGTTGATTTAAATTAATTTTAATATACCTTAACTACTAGTGAGAAATTTCAAATTAATCTTTCCTTTATATATTGTTTTGTTTAACCTTAAAAATAAAATTATAACAACAAAATTTAACTCAAAAGCCACAAAAAATTACTAAAAAATCGCAGATACGTGTTTCGGGAACAATGTTACCATTATCAATGCTTAACACATCCTATTTTGTGTCAATGACAAAGTAAAGTTATATTTTAAATAATCAACGATTATAAGTTAAATGTAATATACAATATGTCTGACCTGAATCCTATAAAAGTTAGTTATCCAAGTGAGGTAGAGATATAGGCAAGTAATTGTTAAGATTAAGTTAAGCTATTCACTAAGTAATTAAATGAGTATAACGGAAATATTGATATCAAACTACTCTTATAACGGCTACTCAAACACAACTACTAGTTAGAAATTAAATGTCAGTAGCTCCGGGCTACAAACAAATAAAATTGTCTCATCAGCATCTCCCTTAATGCTAATGGACATGTTTAAAGAGTTGAGAGGAACAAAACACATTGTGTTATAAATGTCCTTAAAATATTATATTTATTAATATACTATTATATCATAATTTAAAGTGTGGTCAAAATAATGAAAATCATTAGAAGTTAGCCATTAAAACGATAGTTTCCTTAAAGTTATAAATCAAATATTCGCAACTCCCAAATACATTCATTATTATTTTCCTGTTTGAATTTAATATTAGAAGACTGTTTTCCAATAATAGTATATGACGAGAGTACCAATAAAACAACTGAAAAAGTACTCTATGCATAATATAATCATTTTAAGAATATTTAATTTATAGTAAATTCATTTTTAAATCAGGATTAATTTTGATTTAACTTGATTAATTATCAATTATTTTCGTTTTATTGCATTTTTTTTACAAAATTTAACTATATGATTCTTTTAAACTAATTTTATAAATTGACAAAATCATGTAATTATTTTGCCTAAACATGTTGATTTTTACTTTAATTCATAAACTTTACATTTAGTTCATAAATTTCATTGTAATCGATTTGTCTGTATAATTTTTTTGCTACTCATTGAAATTAATTTAATTATTATAATTATATTTATAAGTCTCACTAGCGTAGTTTGAGGGGTTGTGGGGTTTTTAACCCACACAAAATGTGTAATTACCTATTTTATCCGGCTTTATTGGTAAAATACTTATATTTTTAATAAAACAATAATGAACGAAAAATACTAGTATTATTGTTTTAAGCTTATTTTAAAAATTATTTTTAACTTTTTAGTTCGATGTGCTTTAAAAACGTGTTTTTTTAGTTTTTTTAAACTATTTATTTTTTACTTTTTAGTTTTATGTTATGATAGTAGTTACTATCAATATCATGGTTGTAACGGGTAAAAGGAAATCAGGGTTCGATTCCGGGGAGGGAGTCTGAGAAACGGTTACCACATCCAAGGAAAGCAGCAGGCGCGTAAATTACCAACTCCCAGAAGATGGTAGTGACGAAAAATGACGATACGGGAATCACCCTTTGTAATCGGAATGAATACACTGTATATCACGCTTAATGAGAATAAAGCGTGTTAAAATATATTTTTAATAGTAATTAGAATATATATATATATATACATGTAAAGCGAATTAAGTACGTAAACGTATCATGCACTAGGTATAGCCTTGTTTTGTGGGCGGGGGGAATGTTATACCTAAGGTATAAACGGCGTCAGCGGCTGTAAGAATATATAAATTTATATACGTAAGGCGCATTAGACGCGGGCGGTATTGGTCAGTCAAAATAAAAAGTTGCTTATTATATATAATTAATGACATGCACGCGTGTACGGGTACGAAAACCAAAAATAAAATTTTACAGGAAAATATAGTTGTCGTCGAGTGGAGAGCAGAGTGGGGTGAATGCGTTACGACGTCTAGTCTCAAGACCATAGACGACGGGGTACGGGAGTATAATAACATGTGGCTGGTGGAGATTTACAAACAAGCCCACAACTAACACACAACATACAAGTGAAACTAATATAAGCGTGTTAATAAGACTGAAATATTTAACATGTTTTAGTATTTTTTATTATTTTAAAAATAGAAGAATCATTGTACATTTTTTTTCAAATATAACTACTTTTTATATAACTATTACTATTATTAGGATTTATTGAATGAGGCTGATACTTTGTAGTAACGAAATATTAAGATTTACCCATTACATAGTGTATCGTATTTAAAATAACCGACACAAAATGAATTATTGTTATAATAAAATTATTATTTGGGTATTCTGTATTTTGATCATTTTAACTATTCGTCGGTTTACATTTCCGTCGAATATCGGTAACTAGTCAAATGTTTCTTTGTCGTAATTTTGTGAAGTGTATTTTAAATAAACAAAATGTTCAGTATATTTAAATTAAATTTAAAAAAACGCCTAATACTTTACCGCCAAATATCAAAAATCAAGATTATATCGCATACGATCCAAATAAAATTTAAAAAAATCCAATAAAAAACAAAATTTTTTGCTTCGATGCGAAGCTGAGAAGGTATTAATTTTACTATGATGTTTTTTTTTTTTTGTGTTTGTTACAACTTTTTTTCAGCTCTCACCGAACCGATTTCTTTCAAAGATACGTCAAAAGATCACAAATCGTATCTAGTCGAAGACATTACCAACAAAAATTTTAAAAATTTCCCTCGTTCTCCGTAAATGGGGGAAATCTCCAAAAAAAATTACAAATTTTAAAATTGTTAATTTTTTGAATTTTTTTTCTGAAAACTGCCATAATTTTTTTAAAAATAACCAAATCAATATAAATTATTTAATTATAGACGCATAATGTCTTAATCTATCATTTGATATATTTTTTTTACAAATTCGACCCTTTATCTGCCCACAGGGGGGATTTAAAATGACAACTTTTTAAACTTAAATTTTGAAAGTGTTCCAGATACTCTGACACTTTTATACATATCTTAAATTAAAGATAATGTAATATACTTTATTATGGAAAAAAAAAATTTTGGACTTTATTTTGTCTTCACGGTGAAAATGGTTATTTTTGCATGAAAATTCTTGATTTTATATTTTTAAATTTATAATGCTATAACTTATTGAAAAGTGTATTAATACAATTTTTTGATGAGAAATAATATTTATATCCCTCTTTCATTCGACATACTTTATCTTAATCAGGATATAAATAAGGAAATAGCAGATAATGTAGCTTTTGGAATAATCCACCAATTTTTTAAAATTAAACACTATCTAAGGATTTGCATTGAAGCGTTTTTTATGATAGTGATTTTAATCACTGTCAGATATCATTATACTTGATCCAACTATGCCAACTTTTTTTTTTTTTTATTGTGTTTAGAATTATTTTTAATATTATGATTTTTTATAAGCATAAAGATCATTTTATAAATTTTTTTTGCATTTTATTAATTGTTTACTTATTTTATTTGAGTTTAAAAATTTTTTTTAAAAAATGGTCAATTTTTTTAATTATTATAGAAAAATGATGATTATTTTTTAATAGTTCTTTATTACCTCGTCAGAAAACACGTATATTAATTTTTTTGTTTTACAAAACTTATAGAAAAATAAATTTAAAGAACTTTTAGATGAAAATTTTTTAGAACTTGAATGGCTATCGTATATATTTAAATTGCCGTAATATATGAATTTTACTGGTAACATAAAATGTATGGAACTTTTGACTTTTAGCGGTAAATATTTGACTTATGAGTATTTTGCTAATCACCTTTTTTATGTAAAATAATTAAATGTAAAATTTCTTCCTTATAAACATTTACAAAAAAATCATACATTTTGAGATAAAGCACAATAATTCAAAAACGTGTTAACGTCAACCTATCGGGAACAAATTTTAGTTTATTTTTACATGTAGTAGAACAATTTTTTAGTGCGCATATATCGAATTTTGAAAATTTATATATTTTTTTTCAAACTACACCCATTCTAAGGCCATACATTTTCACATCAATATTGCCTACCTTGAATAAGATACATCTTATAATTTTTATTTTTAATTCACATATATTAAGAATTTTATGTTTAATTTTTCTTCAAAGTAATATTCTTAATTCTTAATTTATAGTCTTATACTCT